TTGTTTTCCCTCCCCCCCCCCTCCCCCCGTGCAACATTCTCCAGATAATCCGAGATATCGAAGTCATTATCATCCTTTTCTCTTTCCGGAAGAAAGGACTGGAAAAACTAAATGGGGATGGAAAAGCAGTCTCAAAAAGAAGTTTCCGTCGATGTGCTCAGATGCACGATCGGCATCATCATCGAACCGAAGTTTGTCCACGGACTGCCATCCGGACTGGTATAGGGAGAGGGCTGTCACAATCCGCAGGTTCCAGGCGCTGTTAGAGAAAAAGAGAAAGCGAGAGAGAGAGAGAGAGAGAGAGAGAGAGAGAGACCGCCAAATTTATTCCACGTCGCTCTATCGATTTCGGATTATATTGCCTTAAGACCTGAATAATATTCATGGGTGCCACGTTATGATTTCAATATTCCCCGAGGGTTCCGCCGGGCGGAGACGAAGTCGAAAAATCACCGCGGCCTTATGCGGTCGGGCGCGATAAACCCCGAGGCTCGGCCGAGAATATAATCGAATCGGCGGCGCCTGTCTGCAGCTTCCCCGATTATCAATGTGTCCTTCATCTTTACATATTCTATTTCTCCGCGTACATTTGCCATATTGTGAATCCTACCACCATCGGAGGTGCGAATACGAGCGTTGTGCGCTACAACACCGCGACAATACACAGTAAAATCGACGGTGCGAAATGAATGGGCCACGAAAAAATGCGTCAGCTAGCTTTGTTTCACTGGCGCTGGTGCATCAAATATATGTGTATGTGGATGAATGTTTGCTCGTTAAATCAACAAGTTTCGGTTCAATTGTTCGTGATTCAAATACAATAATTGTCCGATGGCGCACACCTCTCCCCATCCTTCGTCACCTCGCCAGTGCAATACGTCGTTTATTATTCATTTTATATGCAAATTCATACAATCACTTTTATTGCAAAATTATTTTTAATCCATTCACTGATTGCATCTCGTTGATTATATACGCGCTCCGAAAGATTTCTCGTCTGCGCTCTGCTTGATGAAGATATCGAATCACGCCACGTTGGAAACAGCGTCTCATTATCATTGACGCGCAAAAACTATTAAGAAAGGCTCGCTTCAAAGCTCATTGCCGCAATGGTGTAAGAAAGATCGCAGTTGGAAATATACTAGATATTATAAAAACAACGTTGAAATCGTAGCTAACGAGTTGCAGTAAGTTGTAACGAACGCGGTAGTGTCGCTAATGATGATAGAGTATGCCAATCATTCTTGCAAAACTAAAAGCCACAATATACCACGCAGTTTTTCAAGTGTATTTTGTAAAGTTTATCCTGTGGTATTAATTACAGAAGTTATTATGATAAAAGAAACGATAATTATTTAGAATCCCAATATAATTATTAAAATCCAATAATTATTTTGAATTGTTCAAACATAAAAATAATTGCGATGAAAGATTCAAATTTTTATGAGATTTTTATATCATTTTGTAATGGATATGTTATACTGCGAAATATGTCTGTCCGTTTTGCGGACAAGTGACATTACAACGATCATATTACGTTACGTTTATAGAGCAACAAAATTTATTGCCTGCAATGAATAATGTACCATAGAAAGAGAGAGAGAGAGAGAGAGAGAGAGAGAGAGAGAGAGAGAGAGAGAGAGAATATTACATATTTAAAGCCAATTCACTTTTTCCTTGTACAAGGCAAGTAAAAACAAGTTATGCTATTTGTGAAAATTTGTTCATGGAAGTATCTCGGTTCACCACGCATCGATTTCGCAATTTGATGGAGGATACTCTTAGGGTGGCTATACACTTATGATGTAGCCAAAGAGGAACGTTCTCGTTTCGTAAAACATCTTGCTTGCCGTATATCGTCAAGCTAACTTCTTCGGTGGCATTATCGTCGAGAGCCCTCTACTTAGAGAGAAACACGAGGAGATACGGTCACTAAAGTCCAGACCCCTCAAAGTTTAGTTCGGATAGGCGAGCCGGTATCTCCAGTGGTAAATAATTAATGGACAAAAGGGTAAAAGCACGTTATCATGGCACGATCTCATCGTATCTATCGTTTGTCTGACCAATTTAAGGTTGAGTTTTCTTGGTGAGAAATTCAATGAAACCATTTCTGCATTGAAATGAATGAATTGACATTAAATTATTATATTTCTATAAACTGACGCAGAGATTCAAATATTCAGTTGAAATTAAATGAAGATATTATTTATGATTTAATTCACGAAGAAGAACTTTTAATAATTTCTGAATAAAAAAAACAATTGACGCTTGAACATTTTTGTGAAAAGAAAGAAATCTTCTTAGGCGAGAATATATTATAAGGAACCTACAATACAATATTCGACATGCCTTTCTCTGTTTCATGACTGGAATTTCCTGTTACCTGCGACAGAGCAAGCCGGCTGAAGATTTGGTATCTCGGCATGAGACAAGGAAAGATACGAGAGTAAGCTGAAAGTCTATTGCGCAACGATAAAGCCTTTTCTGATTTTCTTTTCTCGATTCAGGACAAAAGATATCCAACGCTCGTCTCGTACAACTTAGAGTAAACCTCGAGGGAAATTTTAACCTTCCAGGCAGATGTTAAATGCGAAGTTAACTGCGACGGGACGACATTCCGTCCGTCTCTTTTCTCTTCGACTCCCTCTCTTTTTCTGACACTCTCTCCTATCTCCGCATTGTCGCTCTATCGTAATTCTCTTTCCGCACTTCTATGCCGTACTATTCTGAACAAATGATGAGACAAAAAAAGACAGGCCGGATCGAGCCAGTGCGAAAAGGGCGAAGACGAAAAGGGTGAGTCGTACGGGCGTCGTTGGTGATGGTGGAAAAGAATTACAAGCGATTCGCCCCGCTGCATTTCGATGAATCTCAAATTATTCTTCGTCCGCGTGTCTGTCGTGGGGACCTCAGTTGCGAAGATAACCGAAGAGGGAATTCCTGAAGAGAAAGAGAAAGGGAGCAGTACATATGTATACATACCCCCTATATTGAAAGACGTCAATCGTAAAAACAATTTCTGCCTTTTGCGA